GACAAACAACCTTGACAAAACATTGAGCTACTACAAGCTTCAAAAATCCAATGCAGACTATTGGGACTCTCAAATTTTTCCCTCTTTTACCGGACAACACAATTTTCTTCCATTTCTCCCATCTTATCCATTTCAGTTACTTTTCCCTCTTTTTCAGCGAACATCAGAGACTGCAGGAATGGACTCCAGTAATCGCACCAACGAGTCTCTTGGAATGCACGAAACTCCTTCTCCCGAGGGCTATACACCACATATCTCGCAAGAGGGCGAACTTTCGATTTTCGCAATAAATCAGCATCACTCGGGACCACATACTTCGCGACAGCGTGAACATTAAATTTCAGTAATAAATCAGCATCATTCTTCCCGACAAAACACACGGGACTGAACAACTCTACAGGCCCAAGTTTCCCAATGTTCTCCACCACCATCAGCTCACTCCAAGAAACCTCCTGCACACCACCATTTTCCTTCATCCAAATACGCAAACAATCTCCATCCACACAGAACAAACACAAACAGCCCTCCAAACAAACCAGGTCAACCTTCCAGTCCTCCTTCACGTGCTCCGGCCATGGTACAGTACACATACATCCCTCATCATCCCTCGGATCAAAGCAAACGATTTTACAATACTTAACCTTATCAAAGCAAACAATTTTACCATCCGTAACCTCAGTTCTCCTGTACACGACCCAGAAGACAGCACCATCCGCAAATGTCCCCTTCCAAAAGCTATACCCATGCAAATCAGGTGGGATCCCTCTGGTCTCCGACCAAGACCGGCTCCCGAACGAGTAGACCGCATAGAGGTTTTTATCGTCGCAGATAACCACAGCCTTGAGGTTGCTCATGGTGACCGGATCGTAACAGAGACCGTAACAGAATCGCGGACCCAGGGCGTCAAACTCGCTCGGTAGGTCCAGCTGCATCTCCTCTCGAGTGGTCGGGTTCCACAAGATCAAGACCGAAGCGCAATGGCTGCCCATGAGGAGCAAGCCGTCGCAGTCGAACGCGACGAAAGTGCAGCACTGGCTGCCGGGGCATCCGAGATCCCAGTCCGCCGCGAGTTGGAATCCCTGGTCCGCCGCCCGGAAGAGGTGGAACCGTGGGAAGGTGGCGCTGACGCCTTCGCCATCCTTTTCCCGGCGGTAGAAGAGCTTCTGCAGCTTGGATTGGCGGAGTTGCAGACGGAGGAAGTCGGGATCGGAGGAGATGGTGGCTCTCAACCACCTCGACACGGCTTTCAACCTGAGGAGCGACTTGACGGGTAATCTGGAGAGGATATCTCGGATGATCTCGTCGGGGAGGTTTCGCAGCATGGCTGATGATCTCTGGTGCTAGCACTTATCCGCTAGCGGCTAGGGTTTTGTTTTGGGGATCTTGGCATTATCTGCAGATATTAGTTTATTTATACATAGCACAGGGTATTGGGCATTTTTGCAATGTCAGTTTATTTTAGACAAAGCATTTTTATGTTTGGGAAATGCTACGGTTTAGTTACGGAACCATTTCGTTGGGGTTTGTAACCGTTAGATCATCTATCTCCGACAGTTACATGATGATCTAACGGTTATAAATCCCGATGGAATGGTTCCGTAACGAGACCGTAACATTTTCCTTTATGTTTATTGTGTAAACATAATTTCGTGAATCACATTCAACTCTTAACCAGAATACCTCTATATATTATAAAAAAAAAAAAAGAGAAAAAAAAATTAAAAAAATTATGCACCAAATATCGGCGAAAGTGATGAAAATCATAAATTTCGATAACTGGTTTGCTTCAAAAGTTATTGTCACGGCTTCTTTCTCCGCTATAGGTCAGAAATTCTATGACACATCATAATGTGGTACCATAATATGGTACCACATGTGGTGCCATAAAATTTATGGCTATAGGTTGCTTTAAATAGGTGAGACATTTCATACGTGAATCCTTGCTAAACTAAAGCTATACAGTGAAATCCCCTTCTTGACACAATGATTTTGTAATAAAACTCAATAATTCTAACATGTTTGACCAATTTACAATGGTCGATTTTCATTAATTCATTGCTTTTAT